GAGAGAGAGAGAGAGAGAGAGAGAGAGAGAGAGAGAGAGAGAGAGAGTTTTCCATTTTTTGTTTCCCACAAAAAAACATCTGTGCGAGCTCGAGTGTGTGCACGTGTATGTTTTAAATGGGAGGGCTGTTCCCTAATAGGCTTATTCTGACGGATTCATTTTGTAGTTGCATCAATTACATGCTGTGTGATGATACTGCCCACTAGAAACACGTATAGGCTACTGCACGGTTACGCAAGATGTTCCATAAATTGTGGACTTGGATCGTTTGTTTTGCAATCGCTTCAGCATTCATTTTGTTTTTGCTCTGCGCCAGCCACCACAAATCAGCTGGCTCATATTTAAAGTCCGCATTCTATGTTAGCGCAAACATCCACCCCATTATGGGACACACAAATGTTGGCATGCATACGGCACATGCAGGCTTTTAAATGAGCAAACATACAGTATTTACCCACTGCGTGCTGCGTCTCACATATATTTCTGATTACCTTGATGTACCGTGCAGCGCTGTGTCGGAAACACTTCAGCACCGTGCTGGTGGACAGCTTCTCCAGCGCTCACAGACAAAATGTGGAGATCGCCCGCGCGCCGCTGCACTTACCGCATGCGACCGCTAGGGCGCACCTAGAGCTTCAACGCAAATGCCCTCACATCATAGCCGAATGCGTCAACCACACGGTAACCAGCTAGGGGCATCTCACCAGCACTAACCCCGCCGTGTTCTCGGGGCCTAAAGCAACAGGAGTCCGAGTAGAGGAGTACAGGACGCAGCCTGAAAGATAAAGGTAAGCAGCAGGCACCTTTCAACGTTGCTGAGATGGTTGTTGGTCTCACAGTAGTGATGACTGATGCCAAAAAAAAAATCGTCCTCCGCACAAAGAGGGCCGGGGGAGGTGCGAGCAGTGCTGCCTCGTAAAGCCCCATAATTCTGTCACACACCAGGCTCGCATTTTCACCGAGGAAACGCCTCGAATAACAGCGGAGGTGCTTTTTGACACATTGCCACTAACAGGTTGATAATATAATAAGGTTTAGAGGATACCTGCGCTGAGGGTAGTCTCCTTTGGTGAATTTTGGAATAGCGCATTTTCGGGCATGTTATTGCAGATTTGGGTGAGAAAATGCAGGGGGGAAGCCTGAATATTTAACCTTATACCGTGTGTGATGTGTACCTGGCCCTTTTTCATAGATCTTTAAAAATGTCTTGTATTAGATTTTCATTTTCGCTTCTTCGTTGTATGAATTTAATAGATATTTACCAGATTGAATAGCGTATCACATCGCAGTGATAACCTTATCAGAGTATTTGTGGCCTGTGTGATGTAAACATATGCTCTGTATAGTCTACCTGAATTGCAAGTATGTTTAAAATGATATGACAATAATGTGCTATTAATTAGCACTTAAGTCAGCATTGATTATTTCCTGCATTATTTATAAGGAAGTAATAGCGACTGAATTACAGTAATTGTTCTAATTAAATTACATCATAACAGTTTGCTAATCAATCTGGTCTCTTTACCTTCTCCAGTCATTCAGTTTTATCCAAAGCCATGGTGTCCACACGCCTCGCTTTAGTGCTTTCTGTCACCATGATCCACCTAGTTTCAGGTATGTGTTTTCCTTGCTCTTTTGTTCCATCACAAACATGGACTATGCTTTGTTTATATTACATCTAGATTAAAAAAAATGCAATATCTTCTATCCGTTTGCTTGCCATGTCCTGCTAATTATGTTTGTTTTCATTTATGTTTATTCAAATAACAAAAGCAGTAATTATTCCTGGCTATTTCAGGTATGAGCTTTATGACTCCTGAGCCTGATACACGATGGTACACACCACCAACATCAACCCCAGAGTCTTCCCCGCTGGGTGACCTGATCCATGCTGCCCTGCAGAGTAAGGAATACTTAAGAGAAGCTTCTGCAAGCACAGGTACATTTACACAGGCCTTTATCGCTTTTTTGTCTGAATGCACCTGAAGAACACTACGGGTGACTAATCATTGGAAAGGACACACTTTGAATTCAACTTTTGGACTCTGCAGGTACTACCACCAACCCGACACAGGCTGTGCCTGGGCTTGGGCAGACCGAGTCGACAGCAACAGTCATATCACCAGGGCTACTCACCACAGCTTTAAGCTCCTCTTCTGCTGCCAGCCAGAGAGGATCAAGGAATACCATGTCCTCGCTGCCCATAGAGGAGGAGACAACCACCACCCTGATCACCACAACCACCATAACCACAATGCACATGCCAGGTACCTGCATGCCACCAGTTGGCTTCCCTTGAGTCTGTGTTGTTTATTGATGCCAGGTAACATGGTTCTCTAAAGGGACAAAATGCTCAGATTTTGGTGGGGCCAGCAGTGATGACAAATGCCCACTGAATAATTTTGGCTCCCGTTGCGACTTTATTCATTTTTCTTCTCTGCCTCTCTTTGAAGAAAGAGTAACAAGGAGATCTTGACAGACAAGGTAACATGAAACAGTCATAAAATATTAACGGCGAAACATCAACAGGCTACTGTACAAGTTACTGGTAAAGAAAGAGCTGTACATGTACTGGTAAGTATCCAGAATTGATTTTAGATTCTTCTTTGCACAGCTTATTCTCAGCATTGGAACATTTCTGTTTGGTAACAAAATTTGTTAAAAAGTGCGGACATGTTTGTCTATGCTTGTGGTCTTATTTCTGCAGGAATAATGTGCTTCCTGTTCTTTCAGGATTCATGCTTTAAATGTTTGGAGGGACACAGAGAACTGAGAGTATACACTGAATCCTGTTGAAGATGACAAAGTGCGCTCCTTCTTAAAGTAGTCAGTGAAACCAGCTCTTCTCCTCTATCTCCTCAATAACTTAAAGCATGAAAGCAGATTGGTTTACCAGCCCGAACTGCTGTAAGATGATCCTAGCCAGATGTACAGTATCGGTAATATTTCTTACATAGACATTTGCATCTTTGTTGTTGGTGAGGACAGCTGGCACTGAAAATATATACTATATACACATATACACATGCTGTACTCTATACAACACATTGTGGCCATCCTTTGCCATTAAATCTGGATAATCCAGTATCTAGTGGCCCCAAAGTGGCCGACTGAATGAACACATGAACTTTATACAATATGCATTTTTCTCATAGCTTATTCTGTGAAGTACACTGATGATTTTAATGCAAGCGAACATCCGTATCCCGTATTTTTTTTATTTGGTAATACTCTTTATCAATTACAAAGGACAAGACTGTATGAAGATAACGAGAGACAGATGACTTATACAAATATTTTGAAGCCTCAAAACCTGTAAAATATGAAGCATACAAGGGGTATTGGGCTCTGTTTGGCTTCCCAGCTATTTGGTGTCACGCTTCACATTTGCTATTAGTGTTTTCTTTATTCACAGTGTCACATGAAAAGTTCTGTATCAAAAAGAAGTCTAAATACACTCTTTGTCTTTTAGTTATTACAACAACAAACAAATTAAACGTAATCAGCAAGCATGAAAACAACTTATTGACTAAATAGAGCAACCAAGTGAACCCATAAATACTAATATCAGCACTATTGCTTTCATGTCAATATCCGAAGAAGAGAAGCATTAATTTGACAAATCAGTCAGTCAACAATGCCACCATGACCAGAATACTAATAGGGAGTGGTGAAGAACAGAACAGCATCCTTGTCAGAATGGTTGAGTGAAAGTGCATTACGGCATCTCCTTCGGCTGGGGTGCCTGCAGACCTCACTGCAGGTAGATCAGAGCTGTTGCTCATTCTGGTAATGAAATAAAAGACACCATTACTGCAACCGCTACAAATGAGAGCTAAGGAAATTTGATTGAGCACTTACGAGGTGGGTCAGCTTATTTACACCAGATGTGGTTTGAGAAATGTCAGGCCAGATGAATTATCAGCGAAGTGTGTGTGTGTGTGTGTGTGTGTGTGTGTGTGTGTGTGTGTGTGTGTGTGTGTGTCACTAGTGTGTGGTTCCATTGTTTTCATTGTGTTTTTACTGGGAATTGTCATTTCAACCCACAATGAAACACCCTCTAAGTAGCAGGTAGATATCTAAATATCTCAGGCATGTTTACCGTGTACAAAAAACAGACTGTAAAAACAACAAAATACAGTTTTGCAGGGAATTATGTGCTCAGCTATTTATTGGCTGCTTGACCAGTTGCTGGGCAACCAGCGAAGACTCCAGGAAGTAACTGGTCCCAGTCAAGAAATGGTCCGGCATATAACCCACGAAACACTGGTTGTACACATTTTTTAGTATTTAAATAAAAAAGATAATCTGTAAATTAGTGTTTTTTAAAGTTCCTGCTAGTCAGATTTGTTTACCTTTTGGCCCCCAGAGGGCAGCTGTTTCCTGTCTTTACACTGTGCTCGACTAATGCTAACCTGCTGCTGGCTCCATATTTACTGCAACAAAATTATTAGCAAATGAGCTTAATTCACAGAATGATCAATTTTCATTTACTCCTACTTATGTACATGTTCAGTTAACACTGTCAGCTGAGTTACTTTATGGTACTTTTTAAGATCTGTCATATAAGTGAAACGTGTTGGATTGCTTTTCCGTTCTCTTCCTCTTTCTCTTTTTTTGTTTCTAGTCATTGTTAGCCAAATGGACTGTAAAACCCTTTCCTCTCCAGATGCCATTTGTATTACAAGGGGTCGTCAATAATTAGATTCTACTGAAGCATAGCAGCAGTTTCAGTCATGCGGTCAATACAATTATTTAATGCAGGGCAATCCAATACACCACAGCTTCCCCAGTGTGCTCACTAGTAGGAATTACTTTTCATTTTACCGAACTTAATTGGTGTACTGTTACTGACAACTGCAAACTGCCACTTAGTGATGATATGCCAGGTTATTATTAGTATTGTCCTCAGGTTGTATTGCAACAAGACGAGTCAGAAATGCGCTGCTTCTTGCCCCTTGTCTACGATCAAACATGCGATTATATTGTAGTTCATGGTTTATTTGTTATTGTGACAATAAACATACGAGCCTCACACAAATAATATGTGGATATTTTGGACAAATATTTTTTATCAAATCATAATTTTGATTATTCTCAAATTAGCTGAGCTACTCCACAATCTTTCCCTGAATTAGAGTAGAGTTTTGCTCCACAATATCCAGTCTAAGGGACTGGCCCAAGTCATCTTAACCTAACAAAGCTGCAGACTTTAGTTTACAGTTCTGGCACCTTTTTTTAAACTCCCATTCAAGCACCAGTCCAAACTTAATAGATGCAGTTACCGTTTGTTACAACTTTCATAAAACTTCAAAAAGATCCGAGCAGGGTAACAGAAATGGTATCCCCACCTAGCGTTATGTACATGTATTTAATGTATGCTGAACACAAAGGTTTGTTCTGGGAGAATAGATTTAACTTGAGCTCAGTGATATTTCTCTTTATCCATTTGGTAAGTTGATGAGTAGCACAGCAGGGGCTGGGTCCCTGGCTATCCAGCAGTGCACACCTTATTTGGTCTCAAGGATGACCATGATTTGCATTTCTATCCACTGACCCACTTGAAAGAGAGCAATAGCACAAGTTGTGTTTTTCTTTTCTTTTGTCACTTATCTTGAAGGATACACACCCAAGTAAATAATTACAAAAGAACCTCTTCTATATACGTTATTGTCTGTCTGTATACATTCCTCAGGCATTAAAAGCATGACATGCACACCGCAGTTTTCATAAGTGGAAAACATTTTTTGTGCCATCAAATACAACTTTAATAATCGAAACCAACAGAAGCGATTATTATTATTAATCAGCATATTGGAGAAATTGGTCTGAGCTCTCCTCTCCATAAC